AATTGGGCCAAATTGTACAACTCTGATGTTGATGGATAGCAGCTATATGAAGAAAATTTGGATTGCAGAATGTTGCTATCAAGACGGGCCAACATTAAAATATCAAGAGCTGAAGAGCTTCTCGAATTTATTGTTCAGTGTGGAGATGAGAGCGTCTTCCCCAATCTTCGCATTGCTATTCAGATAATGCTAACCATCGCAGTTTCCATCGTCATCTGTGAGAGATCATTCAGCAAGTTAAAACTGATACTTTCGTATTTGAGATCTTCCATGGGTCAAGGCAGACTCTGTGATCTTGATCTGCTGAGCGTAGAAAGAGAAGAAACAGAAACAACTGACTTTGAGCACATCATAGACCAACTTGCATCAGTGAAATCAAGGAAGGTGCAGTTGTAATTTTCGTGTAGTGCTATAATTTGTTAATCAAAAGATTAACGAGCTGGACTTGTATTTTTGAGCTGATACTGTGGTAAAGTTATCTAAAAGATGGGTGTCAGATGTTTGGACAGGGGCACAATTTCAGAGCTTGCCATAGGCGCTATTTTCCGTAGATACGCCCCTGATTATGATGATCTGGCAGATAATCTCTTTCGCTCTCAAAGTAGCCAAAGGATTTTGTGCTAGATTGTCCCAGATTTGTCACACCTCCTTTTCTAATTCTGTGTTGGTGGCTCTTATTGCTTTAGCAGATGGTCCTCCTAATAATTATAAAACACTAAGGCCTCTGTCCATCTGGCTGCCTGACCTTGCCAATGGCACATTAAAATCATTATCTGCTGCACCATGAATCATTATCTTTTCTCAGCCGAGTGGGAATGCTATATGGAAATGCTACTCTCTCCAATATTACCTCAGGAACCATGGATGGAAGAGCTGCTGGTGGAAGTGGATGCCTTGGTGTCCATTATGGAAAGTGCTGCCACAGCTGTTTGTACCATCATTAATGTAGTCATGATTATGGCTACCACTCTGATTACTTCCATTGACGTGGTGGTGTTAAAAGTAATGGGGTGGCTGAATCAGCAGTTGCGTTGGGTTCAAGTTCTCACTTCACTGGGTAAAACTGTAAGAAGCACCTACTCATATATGAGATTATGATATTGCCAGAGGTCTGATGGGGTGCTTCATTGCTTTCTTCTGGCATTCTGTCTTGCTCCTTTTGAATGTTTGCAAGACTGCCTTTGACAAAGTTGTGGATGATTTTCAGCTGGCACACTGGGCATTAGCCAGCTCCTTGGTTTCCATCATTATTAGAACTATTAGTTGTGACGTTATACATTAGTATTAAACTTATTATTATTATTTTTCAAAAACTACTCTCTTTATTTAGACTTTTAGAGATCTTCAAGAATTAGAAGATTTATAATGCTTTATGACAAGTATAATTATATTCACGCTTTGGAAGCTTGTAAAAGGCGTTCACACCATAACAACTTTTGTTCTAACAAATGAAACCAACAGTCTTGCTCTTCTTTGATTAATACCTATCAAGCCATTGTTCGCAGTTAACTTTATGCACATTCTCAATATCCTGATGAAACTATCGTATTCTCAATCACAGGTTGATTCATTTTGTGTTGAACAACATACGTGAATGACATTGTGTATGGTTTCATATACGTATGCTACAGGTAATTGCATATGCACCTTTTAATATAAGTTAGCATCCAATTTACTCCCCATAACCATGTACACTATTAGTTTCTGCCAGATTGAATCAGAAACGTGTATCATTACTATAGTAATAAACGCAGGCCACTTCCAGAAATTGTATTTTGACAGAAATGGCCTGGTAATGTGCTGCTATCTGTGAATGATGAGACTCAACAAATGGCCAATGATGAAGATACTGGTGTCCAATTGCATATGGCAGATCTTTCTTCCACTTTTTGTAAAATCCATTACCTACTGAATATTTCCATGTGAAAACTGAAACATTCTTGTACCCACAAAGTGCTGTTTCTTCAAATAATGTTTGGCAGGCCTATAATCACAGCTACATTCATAACTCTAGGTCTTGAAATCCTGATCAAGTTCTCATATTATCGTTCAAAACTTGTCCACTGGCTGTGTTCTCACTGATTTATTAAATTTGTGTTGCACAATAAGTCTTCTCAAGCACGAATAGTTTTTTACCCGATCACAATAATCTACCCAAACTACTTTGATGAACTACCTGTCAGTCGTTATGGTACATGAACATGCTCCTATCTATGAGCAGTGAGACTCAACAGACTTTTACCAGCTTTCTGTTATAAATAATTTCTGGTAGAATTTAGCTGAACTAGGCTGTTTAGCCAAAATTATTGTTCATTTTGTCACCACCTTATATATCAATACACCTTCAAATCAATTACAGCCAAATACAATTTTCAACAGTAACTGTGCATTCACTGTTTGGGATATCCACCAATCATGGATGGCTGAGACATTGTGTTGCTTTTCATAAGTCAATCTACCTGTGTTGTCACCACAATAAAGCAAACATAGGTAACTTCAGAGAAATCTATCACCCAGGCTACTCTTTGCACTTGTGAAGAACTCAACTCCCTCCTTTCACTTGGAGGAGCCGTATGCAGTTAGTTGCACAGTACAGTGTTTTCTTTTGAGAACCCTGCAGCTTGTTTGGGAGAACTGCCACTACTCTGATAAGGGAATGCGATTTTTACTTGGAGAATCACTTCGACACACAGAAAGCAAGGCTCACAACACCTTTTAAGTTGTTAGTTTCTCGACAACCAACCATTTTATATGTTATGCAAGTGACTATACAATGCAGTGGATACATTGTTCTTACATCACCACCAGGGCTTTGGAAAAGTAAGAGCTGCTAAGCTCTTTCAATTAGCAATATTTCAACTATGTAACTGTCCTATGTAATGCAACTGTACCATGTAAAGCATAAATGATATCTTACATAAGTGCCCCCCTTCCTTTTAGCATATCATTTAAAATCTATGGGCAGCTGTGGCACAACGGTATGTCTACGGACTTACAATGTCAGAAACCGGGATTCGATACCCGTGGTGGGCAGAGCACAGGTAGCCCATTGTGTAGCTTTGGGCTTAATTCCAAACAAACAAACAAACTTACATCACTATTTGGGGCTCGGAAAGTAAGGGTTGCTAAGTCCTTTCAGTTACTGGTGGCATGACTAAATAATGTCCTAGCTAATCTGACAATTCATTGCAGCTACAATAATCAGAAGGTGGTCGTTGGCAATCCAGCAGACCAAGGGATCTTTCCTGCATCACTTCATGCACTACAACATCTGACTCAGAGTATTTTATCTTCATTTTCATCTAAGCTCTATAGGCCTTGATATTTGATTCCTAGCCAAGCTAGCTTTCACAACCCTCAACACAGTGTACAACTCAGAGAATATCTGGCGTTGAAATTAGTTCCTTGATCCATGAGAATATATCCAGGAGTGCTGAAACATGTTATCCACTGTTCTGCCAGCACATGAGAGAAGGAGTGCACTAAATGACGACCAATGGGTTAAGGCATACTTGGTGAAGTAACCAATGACAGCTAGTATGTACTGATTACCATCATTGGTTTCCAGGAGAAAACTAACAATATCCAAGGCTATTCTCTGGAAGGGAGAATCAACAATTATTTGCTGTCTAGACAGTTTTTCTTTGTACTACACATATCCTGCAGTGCTGGCACCAGCCGTGAAAGTTAGTTGAATAATTATCTGAAATTAGATCTAGTCCTGATAACACCCTAATGACATCCAGTTCTTGTGTTATGCAGAGTCTGAAGAATCTCCTCCCCCTGTTTGATTCCTATGTCTAAGTTGTATAAGTACCACAGACTCTATGCACAAACATTCAATTCCCCGGTCTGTGCTGAATGCAATTTAATTTGCTGCAAGGCAAGTAATGCCCCTGTTAATCATGGGTTTTTCAATTATTTTTCTCAGAACTTTTTAGGGCGAGTCTTGGCATCTATTCACCAGTGAAATCACCTATTTGGTGGCTCTGCATTATGGCAGTTGAAATGTATTTTCTTCAACTCTGTATTCTGAATCAGGAATTCAGGACATTCAACAAATGGACAAAATCTCATTGTGTTGGAAATTAGTCTGTCTGCATACCATGTTGTACTCTTCGACTATACATTATAACCATGTCATATTCCTACAAGTTTTGATCCAACGTGCAATAATCCCTTCCAAATTTTTGATGTTCATAGCTACTTCAATGATGCATAATCCACCGTGAAAGTGAACTTCCTGGTGTACAAGTAATATAAGTATTGCTTCATAAGTGCTATAACTGTACTTTGTATTTCATACAGGGTGAGGCCAAACATAATGATTAGCAAGTTCAAAATGTGAATCTAATGGTTCATGTTTTGTAGCTTGTTGCTGCAAAAACGCGCTCCGAAATTTGAGGTATTGGATGACTATAGGAAAGGCTTGACGACAAATCCCACTTCATTCAGAGAAGATTAGCTTAAGAGTTTACAGTAGAGTTATTGAATAAATGACATTCCTCGAGCATATAGCAAAAAATTAGGGACCGCTATGTCCAGGTAGCCCTTTTGTAGCTTTACGTTAAAATTATAAATACAAAGTGTCTGTTGTCTTTAATTTAAAGTTTTGTTTAAGCATTTTATTCAGACATGTGCTTATCCAATAGACTTCCTTACCCTCATAAATACACCCGTTTATACGATATACCATGGCGTAATGACTTTATTCGTGATTATTTAGCAAATATAATTATCTTATTTGCACACAAACATTATGAAAACAGTATTATTGTAGGATAATTATTGCTTCTAAAACACCATTGAGATTACTTGTCATGTTCTTTCAAGTGAAATCTTTATGATTACATTTCACGCGATCTTCTGTGTATAAATACGAAGTGTAAATAAATAAAATACATAAACAAATAAAATATGTTGAATATATATATATATGTATATAGATGTTAAAAAATTAGTTCCTTGATCCATGTGAATATATCCACAGAAAATTAAAATAAAATTAACCGTTGCGTGGCAGTACTTGCATTGTTAAGAAACTTTTAGTTTCATTGACTAAAGAATTCTGTAATTTGCGATGAAAAAAGCTGTTGTTTAAATTTCGATTTTTGAATCTGATTAACTTGTATGACTTGTTTTGAAATATAAATTTTAAAATGAGTAATATATACATTCAAGAACCGCCCACTAATGGAAAGGTAAGTACTAACTTAGTAAAATGTAAAGTAGAACTACAACAGTACAACTTTGTTAGTGTCAGTTTGTAAACCTTTACAACTACAAGTAAAATAGTAGTTCTAATCCTACTGCAGTTACAACTTATTGTAATATTTTTTACTAGTACATGTAATACTAGTACCCATACTAGAAAAAAACAACAACTTTTATTTATAAGTTTAAAATTAAATCCTTTACCACGAACAAATTACAATTGGATGGTTTAACTATTTCTTTCATTTTAAACTACAGACACCAAGACATTATATTGAACTGCAACATGTTTCTTTCACTTAAAATTAAATAATGTAAGTTCTTATTCTAGGAAGTTTATATAATAATTTATCACATATGTTTAATATTTAGTAGTAGTTAGTACAATTACAAGTACCATATTTGCCAGTTTATAAGAACACTTGGAGTTATTGAGCAAATTAAGTGTATTTTTTCGAAGTTCAGTGTATAGGACGATCTTTATTGTCAAGTAAGTCAAGGTTGTTACTTTTATAAAGAAATTCTTTAAAGTTATTTTTAAACTGTGATAATCTGTACTCTGGAGTAATGAGTACAACAACAAGTGTTTTTTATTCTCTTCAGATGCTACAGACAGCTCAATGCAACATAACTTAAGTCATAAACATGTAATAAACAACTTCAAAGTTTTCATCACAGTTGAACTCCTTTTCTATTACACAAAATACTAAACCATAAAATATAGTGATCTATAAAAACATGTTTACAGAATTAGTGTATGCTACAGAAACTTTTTTTTTCATATAATATAAACAATATTTTAGTATTATGGATGAGATCACTAAATTTCCTGTCAGAAATGTCTTCATTAATTGTAACTAGAATCTGAGATAAATAACTTCTAGTTATGAAGAATTAAGACATATGATACATTACACAGTTGGTGGCATGATGTCAATGCACTTATTATTCAAAAAAGCAAACAAAAGGAAAAGGAACAATGTAGTTTTGGTTAAGTATGCTATTAACTGGAGAGTTCTTACTGGAATCCTATCTTTGAACCTGTGTATAAGACAAGGGGTAAAATTGGGCATTGTTTTAAGAGTAAAAAGTATTGTCTTATACACTGGCAAATACAGTAATGCAAATGTCACATATAGCATCTTGCATTTACATTACAACAACAATACAGTGACATAGGAAATATTTTCACTTTGGCCTTTTGTGATGAAATTCAGAGCTGCTGTTAATTTTAATTTCTCAATGTATATATATACTTTGTAAAAATCATTAAGAGTCCTGGGCATCCGCAAAATATTTTCCGGGAGGTGGGGTGGCAAAGTAGTGTGAAATTATGAGTTGAGTAAAAAATTCATATACACATGCTGAATGAATAATGAAAAAATTCTGTTTATCATTTTCCAGTTGGGGGCAAGAGACCTCCCCCCCCTCCCTCCACTATGGGCACCCATGAAAAGAGTTTTCAAACTTACAAAATCAAAACAATAATTAGAGTAGAAATATTTAAAGTAATAACTACACAATTTACATTTTTCAAAAATATTGCATTCCGTGTTCATTTGTGGCAACAAAAGTAGTAGCTGGATGGCATATCTTTTTTTTTGCCATTTATCCCCAGTTAGGTTCACTTTCCCTAAGTGCTTGGGTTATTGGATTTCTTTTTGATGCTAGTGATTTCTTGGTCATTCACACTTTGCAATGTCATGAGTGGTTTTAGCTTCATTGATCCAAGAATTCAGCAGTTTTTTTTTATTAACTGGAAAAACTCGTTGTTGAATCTGAGTAACATGTACTCTTTTCATTCTTTTTTTTTTTTTCAGAATATAGCACAAAGATATCAGAAGCCTTTGTCTTATTAATTTCCTGGGAAGTTCCTACTTTAGACTACTTTCAATAACGGATGCAAAGTGAAATGTGTATACATATATATAAATCTCAAGACCAAGACATTCCTTTTCAGGCATTTTCTCCAGTTGGTTCAATGGCAACTGGAAGCACTTTTTCTATTCGTAGATCTCACATTTAGTTATATTCCCATTAACTCACTTAGTAGGGCACAAAGTAGTGTGTGAAAGGTCTCGGATTTCACTCTTTGGTGATGTACATTTGATGTTGTGGATAACTTAGCTTCCATAATGTTATTGAGCTATGATTAACCATGTTGTACCAACAAGTTAACTGATGATGTTCTCACTTTCCTTTCTGTTTATTTCTTCTCCAATTCAGATCTCTGGTCATTTTATTTCTTTGCCTTCTGTGGAAAGTAATTAAAGTAACTAAAATGTGGAAATAGGAAAGTATTTATGTTGCTTAAGGTTAAATTATGTGAAATAAATAATAACAACAATATCATAAATGTAGTGTTTGAGCAGCTCTTGCATAATATAACTTCACAGTATAACTTGTCAAGTGATTTACAACTGATAATGGCACGAATAGTAGTTAGACAGGGTTCAAAGGGCAATAAGACAAATTTTAAGTATAAATAGATATGTACTGTTATGAGTCTAAAGCTATTAGGATGAACAAATGTAATTCTGAAACACCACAATAAATGTTTCTTTTCTTTGCCCATCTAAACATTGTTATATATCTCACCTCGCATGCTTCATCCTTTGTACCCCACTATATTTCCCAAAGCAAGTGAAGTCTTGTGATTCTTTCCACCTATGGCAATGCACCCCTATCCCAGATCTGTATATAAGCTCCCTGTTATAACTTCCTATTCACTTTTCTCTATGGCAGAATGTTACAATGATGGTTTTACGTGATTCCAGTGGGTTTATCTTCAGTGTTGTATAGCTGTTCACTACACTTTAAATGATTTCTTTTCTTCTTTTTTTATCTTTCTTCTTGGATCTGAGTTTATTGTCTCTTTTCTTTATTTTACAGAAAAAAAATCTTAGACATTTTTGGATATGAACTTACAAATTCATGTCTCTGACATGAAGTCACCTAGTGTTGCCACACTGCCACCTCTGGAATCTAGTGTTACCATGGTGCTGGAGTGAGAGCCCCTTTCCATGGAGGAGGTTCAGTCCCTCATATGCAGAGAGGTGGAGTCTTACATGAGGTCTGTTTTTTCTCCTGTCAGATCAAAGGCTGAGCTTGCAGAGGATCAAGGGCAAACTGGTGAGAATTTGGTCAGTCACATACTCATGAACCTTAGACAGACATCACGCCTCCTGCGCCATTTTTGCAACTAGTACACCAAGTTTGTAATGTTTTGAGCATTTCTCCTGTAGCTTATGACTCTTCTCCTTCTTTATTGGGGGAAAGTCAATCGGCTGAGTGTATGGTTTTTTCACCTTTGCCAGACATTGCTGTGCATGCTCAGAGATTTGCTGATCAATAGTAAGAAGATGCTACCATGCTTTCTCCTCCTCGTTTATTGAATCATTATGCCTTAGCTTTCCTTAGCTTTGGAGAGCCCTTATTTAGATTCTCAGAGGTTAGATCCTTTTCTTCCTATTTGGGGTTGTAGGCCTGATGCCACTGTTCATCTTATCCTAACTCTGTCTTTCCAATTCTTCTGTTCCTTACAACAGTTTACATCTTTTACCTTCTTTGCAACCATTGTCAGGTCTCCTGCTCCATTTTCAGAGGATCCTAGTCATTTATTGACTTCTACTTTGGTCATGTTATCAGCTTCTGATCTCTCCTTGGTCTCTTGGTTGGGTTGCTGCTGGGATTTTTTTGGGAGAGATGACTTGTTTGAGAGAGTTTGACTTCCTTCTTTGGCCCTTAGAGATCTCAGAGAAGCTTCTTTTCTCAGACATTTGTTCTTTATAGGTATTCCAGATTCCATGGAATTTAGGATGGATGTGTCCTGTTTCCACATTTCTCTTTCAACACTGACCTCTCACCTTTCCTGGTCTTTTACTGGATGTTTTCCTACATCTCTTGTTAGGGTTTCCAGACCTTCTGTGTCGGCTCCAGGTTCTGTCAGAACACAAGGGAAATTTCACCTTTATCAGTGGGTATCCTCGACTTGTGTGGAACAGACAATGGCATTGGTGACTAACCTATGGGGTCAGGTTTTGTGGGGTTCAACTCAGTATGGGAGATTTTTAATATAGATCAGTGGGCCATTCAAGTTCTTACAAGAGGATTAGTCCGTCATTTCACGTCTCCTCCTCCATTCTCCCTCATACTGGCTGTCTTTCCCCTCCCCAAGGATCACCTTACATCAATTGTCAAGCATAAACTATCCAATATCTTTATTCTCATTCGTTTGTAAAACCCAAGAAGATGGGTGACCTGTTGTTGACCTTTCTTGTCTCAATCATTTCTTCCAGTTTCTCAGTTTATGGTGGAGTCATTTCTTTCCCTTTTGTGGCACTTGGCACCCAGTCTGTAGATGAAAAGACCGAAATTGCTAATGCCTATCTTCATATTCTGATCATGGATTCTTCATGTTGTTATCTATGTTTTGTGCATGAGAGACAGGTCTTTCAGTTTCGTGCTCTACCATTCGACCTCGCATCTGCCCCATACATCTTTTGCCAGATAGTCAGATCCTTTTCACGTATCTTCACGCAAATGGGTATTCACACTCACCATTATATGGATGACTGGCTTCTTCTGTCTCCTTCCCACCACTTGGCAAAACTTGACACTCAAGCTTTTTTGATCCAAGGCTGCGAGAGCTGGGTTTCTCATCAAAATGGAGAAGTTATTTCTTACTCCCACACTGTACCTCATCCATTTAGGAGGGTTTTTCAATTCCTGTCTCAGTGTGGCCCAACTTTCTCCTCTACACCTTCAGGCCATGGTATGGGCCATTATTTTAATACAGTCATCACCTTCTCCACCAATGTATGTGGTTCGTTCTCTTTTAGGGATGTCGGCATCCTTGGAATTACTCATTCCTTTAGGTCGGGCCCACATGTTTTCAATTCATTGGTCATAATGGTCATTTAGTGGCCAATCAGTTATCTCGTCTCCACAGAATTCTTCCCATGGAATGGATGTTTTATCCACAAGT